GGATTAGTGTTGCACAAGAATTTGGTGGATTTGGTTCAGTCAAAAGAGTCTTTGATTTTGGAAAGGGAGGGGGTACTGAACCAGTATGTTGAAAAGACCAGAGGGTCGATAGCCAAAGTGAAAGAGTTGGAGGAAGAAGTAAAGGATCTCAAGCTTGGCCTAAGAAAGAAGGACGAGAAAATGGCGGAAGAGATAAAGTTGCGGGAAGCATTACATGCTAAGAACTTGGAATTGACCTCTGAGATTGAGGGTTCTGAGAAGGAGAGGAAGCAGCTTTTGGCTCAAATAGTTGAGATGGGTGAAGAAGCTATAGGAATTCGAAAAAACCTCAGTATTAAGACACAAGAGGTCGAGGAAAAGGAAGAAATGCAGAAACAGTTGGTTAAACAAATAGATGTACAGAGCTCAGAACTGATGGAGAATAAGAAAAAGTTGGATGTGCATGAGAAGGAGAAACAACTTCTTCTGGAAAAAATGCGAAGTTTGGAGGAGAAATTCAATCTGCCACATAAACCGAGTACTGGAAGAGGGGAATCATCTGAAGGGGTTGATTCATATCAAAGGGTGCTTAAAGAAGTTGAGTCAATATCATCTGAGCTGCAGGCTGAGAAGAGGAAAAGGTTGCATGTCACTGATGCTTATAAAAGGCTGAAATCTCAGCACAATTACCTTCGTGAGAAGGTGGGTCTTACCTCAGAAAATATGCTGCCCCGGGACAAACTGGAAAATGAAAGTGATCTGGACAAGCATAAGGATCCAATTGTGGCACCTGGTAAGATTTGATTGTTCTACTTCCCACCAGCCAAACAAAATTCTCAAGTTCCCGTTATATTGATTTTCTTCTGATTGTTTAACTGATTCTATTAATTAGACTTATCAGGTACTTTGGATTGGGAAAAATATGCAGTTTATTAGTCGTATGCTATCAATCTCCATTGAAATGTAACAGGTGGATAATTTTATAATTTTTATTGCATTTTAAAAAAAAAATTGTTAAATTCTTATTAGAGATTTTGCTAGTAAGCCCATAACAAACTTACCTGTGTTTAGTCGTTTGAATTATTTGTGGTTCTTGTGTAGCTTTGCAGAGCTGTATCCATAAGATGCACACCAAGGCCTACACAGTGCGCTTTGCTTGACACTGGCAAAAATAGCATCTGTCTCCTAACTCTGTATTGCTTGTTATTTCAGATCTTACGGTTCCCACTTCAAACACCTCCACAGATAATCATAAATTAGCAAAAGTAAAGAGTGAAAATTTAGAGGATGACTTAGGAGGTAATCACATTTTCTATTGATATTATTAGTTGCTCGAAAAGCACACCATCTAAAATGTTTGCTCTAGAGTGGATCTCATTCCATCTTGTCTAACTGGGTTACATGCATAAATTCAGTTGCCTAAATCTTTGGTTGATATTTTGAATGTGCACATCTTAGGCTCATCTTTCATCATGTGCTTCCATTTATAGCAGGTCTTGAAAACAAAGCCCCTGATACCTTTGTTGCTGGATGCGATCTGAACGAAGTAAAGGAAGAAATAGTCGAGGATGACAGAGGAATCAAAATCATTCCTCGTTCTTCTAGTTTACATCGTGGCCCAAAATACCCCACCAACACAAAATTGACCTCTCCATCTAGCACAAAGCGGCCTGCATCTTCTTGGAGACAAACCCGGTCTCGCCAAAGTCGAGTAGGTAATGACCCACATGATGATTTTCTCGATACTCCCCTTGAGAACATCAGAGCAAATTTAAATAGAGGTTCAAATAAGGAAGACCAGCCAGAGCCAGTACAGAAAGACGTTAGCATGAGCAGCTCAGATGATGAAACACAGGATATGAATGCCAAAAGCAGTCCCCCAAGCAAGCAACCTTCAGTTCCTAATGCGAGCAAGAAGAGTTTTAAGTACATTGAACCAGTGAGGAAGAAAGCTGAGCGAGAAAAGTTGAAGGGAATTGAATGCAAACAATGTAAGAAATTCTATGATGCTGTTCTTCCAAGTGACGAGAGTAAGGATCCTGATAGTAGTAAGCGGAGCTTTCGATGTGAACATTTAGATGGTGTTTCTAGGCATCGTTATAGATATGCTCCTCCTATGACTCCAGAAGGATTTTGGAATATTGGGTTTGAATCTGAATTATAAACAAATCGGCCCGCACATTGCTATCATTATATTACCATTTCAATTTTCCAACTTTAAAAGTTTGCTTCCTTCAACCAGTTTTTGTTGGTGGGAGTTCTTGTGCCCAAGGAAAAATGTCCTGTCAGAAATTTTAAACTAAAAATGCGTATGTGTTGCAGCGTCTTGCTCACTTGCTGTTTGTTACTTTAGATTCATCGTTAAAATAAAAGTCTCAGCTGTCATTTATTTTGTGGACTAAGTAGAAAATTGGTTAAAAGTACCTGATTAGGAAATAATTGTGCAAAAGTACTTCCAACTTGTTTAAGAATTCATGTGCAATATTTTTAATGGGTGCAATTTTTCTTCAGCTATATAAACGATATTTACACATAACTGAAAAGATGTTGCATACTTTAAAAATATGGGCTCTTTGGTGCCTTTGTACAATTAATTTTTTAATATGGAACTCTTGACCAATTTTTTCTGATAACTATTCCCTATTTTCGTTCACTAATGCAAAATCTTCATACAACTTTCGCTTCATAATATTCCATACAAAGCCGATTGTATGGAGTATCTTGGTTTCTAATTATTCTAACAATTGTTTTCTGTGTCTGGGCTCTGAGCTTAAATTAATTCAAATTGGTGTTCAATTAAGAACCAGAAAGGCACGTGGTTATGGATGCCTGAAACAGAATAACTCACTTCAAATAATAATTGTGAGGGTCTGCTTAACTTTTTTGCATTCATCTTACGCTTTCCTTCAACATTCTTCTTCTTCTTCTTATAATACTCCCACCCATATCTCTCAACTCCAATGTTACCTTGTCAGGAATAATACATTTCCTGACCCCCAAAAAATATGAATGACAAACAAACATGTTTTAGAAGATGTGTGTGTGTGTTTTTTTTTTTAATAGAATTATCAAATAACATTGTTATTCTTATGGGACAATGTCAAAAAAGGAAGTTAGAATTTTGTAAATGCCAAACAAGGAATGTCAACAAAAATTTATTGTCATTTGCAAATTCAGACTTGTTAATACCAAATAAAGTTGTGTTACCAAACTTGATTTAGAATTTACAATTTTCAACTTCTTTGTCTGTCATTCTCCTTATTTTTATTTATTCATTAAGTAGGAACATACAATGTTATTCAAGAAGAATCGAGTCTCTTCCATTCAATTTGGCAAGCAATGGTCATTAGAACCTTGAAACTTACAAAGGTAAGAATATACTTATACTCCTCCTGCCCTTAACATATGAACTAATTATGGAGTTAATACCAGTCCTATATATAAGATATAATTAACAAATTTGAGTAGATTAAAGATGTTAGTTAAATGAGTTAATATGATATATTTTTTTTAAAATTCTAACAATTAATTCGTTTGATGGATATTATTTGCTTCTTATTGACTTGATTTAAATTCTTGTAATTAAATATTCTGAAACTAAGTCCTTAAGTAAAAAGGAGAAAGTATCCGAGGGAGGTATAAATATAGGTGCAGAGCATCATCACATGGAGAGAGCCAGAGAGTACCGATTTGAATGGGGATGTCAGTGAGGCAGGGGACCATGCCCATATGATTTAATTCCATTCAATTCAATGCAAATAATAATAAAAGGCAGCCCGTTAGGTTGGCTCTTTTAATACCTCCTTTTACTATTTTTCTCCCCTCTCACAGCTTTTTCACCTTCCCTAAATTTTCTTTTTCACTCGTGTTATCTGTTAATGTCTCAAATTCGTATTTGGCTGATTTTCTCTTTGCTACACATTCTCAAATAGTAGACTAAATTTTAAATGACTCATGTTTAATAATTTTTTCAAAAAAAGCTATTACTATAACATAACATTATAAATAAATAAGTTCAAACTATTAAAACTTCATCTAAACAATTTTTTAAAAAAATGTATCTGGCTTTGCTATGAGGCACTTGTTTGCTGGCACAATATCCTATGGGGTGCCTTTGCCGTCATAGGCACTTATGGAGATCATTTAATTTCACTCTTTGTTGTGTTTTCCATATTTGTATATGGTTGAATTGGTTGTAACATTTTTAGTTTGGATTATGAACTTACCATCGCTTAGGTTTTTCTGGTTAGTGTTTTGTTCTAGCATTGTTAAAGGGCAGGCCTATATTACCATGTATCGTTTATTTAGTTGAAATAAGTTGTTTGTTAATTGAAAAACAAATATATATATATATATATATATATAAAGGATTCACAACATAAATCACTTCTATAAAAAATTTTAACCCACAATATAAATTTTTTTGGAGAGTAATTAATGTTTACTTGTCAAATATGTATTATTTACCATGATTAATTGGATTATCTCATGTTCCAAGTAAAGCAAGGTGCATTATCTAATCTAATTTTTAAGTGAATAGTAAAATTAAACCATCATGAAAAAAAAAAATCAAAATATCAAGATTCAAGCCTCCATACGTTCCCAATAAAGTAGCAACACTCACGTGTTATGCAAATAGTAAAGGAAAACCCAATAAAATAAAAAGCTTTATCCAATTTCTTGACCTATGCTCACAGATTACCCACCTTTAGTTAACTTGCCCATTATTTCAACATCTTTCAAAATATTTCATTGTGAAGTTTTTTTTGACCAAATTTCATTGTGAAGTTAACAACTTAAGAATGACAATAATATACACACTAATACACCAACAGACTTACGTGTCTCCCTTCCTCCTCTTTCTTAAGTCCACTTTAAGACTATATTTAGATGGAGGAAAAATTAAGAGGAAAATAGAAAGAAATAATACTAAAAAAAACTCCCCAAAATGGTATATTTTTTATTATTGAGAAAAATTTTACTATTTTGAGAAATTTTCCTCTAGTATTCTTTTTTCTTAATTTTTTTCCCATCCACAAAAAATGCAAAATATTTTATACTGGGTAACATATCAGCCCTAACTTCCAGATATATCACACATTACATATTATGTATTAATATAACAAAAATCAAACACAGATACGCTTGACCGTGACTTGCTTGTGAGAATCAACCAGATAGGTGACTTTCCGGGTCGGGTCACTTGTTAGCAAGTCTTCAAGGGATTCCCACACAAGCAGTCGTTGTTAGCGAAGGAGGAAGCTTCAAGGTGATCAAACGGAGACCCGACGGGTATGGATCCACACAGGTGGTTGTTGCTTAGGTCCAGGTGGCCGATATACTTGGCCGATGATAGCGAACTGGGTATCGGACCTTTCAAGTTGTTATGGGATAAGTCCAACACCATGAAGTATGATTTTGACCCGAACACGTTCGGAATTTGCCCTTCCAACCCGTTTCGGCTCAGGTTCAGGATGCCCATACCCGAGTTGCCCAGCAGATTTGGAGGGATTTGACCTGACAGAGAGTTGCTGTCCAGGTTGAGTGTCGAAAGAACCGGCATTGAACCGAGTTCGCTGTGGATTGAACCGCTCAGGCGGTTCATGGACAAATCCAAGTCCGCGAGCCGGTTCATCGAAGAGATGGACGTCGGGATCGAGCCGGTGAGTTGGTTTTTGTTCAGCAGCGCACGGCTGAGCATACTGAGTTTGCAGAAATCGGTGGGAAGTTCGCCAGTGAGCTGATTGTTGCTGAGATCGAGGTGCATGAGTGATGCGAGGTTCACAATGGAGGGCGGGATCCTACCTGATATGGCATTGTCGGCCAGGTTCAACACAGTCAGCCGCTGCAAGCTCCCGATTCCAGCAGGAATCTCACCGGAGATGTGGTTACCGATGAGGTCGAGGACGCGGAGAGAGGAGAGGGAGACAATGCAGTCGGGAATCTCACCGGAGATGGCCTTCCAGTCAGCAACAACAAGGTTGGTGAGGTGATCGAGCTTGCAAATCTCCGGCGAGATGGTGCCGGTCATGTAGCCAGAGCGACCAGCTTTCACAAATATCGGGTCCTCCGACTCGCCACGGAGGTTGATGTCGGCGACGCGGGCGGTGGAGGGGTCGCAACTGACGCCGTACCAGTTGAGACAGCAGTTTGTACCGGTCCAGGAGCTGAAGATACCTAAGTAGGGTTCGGTGAGTGCGGCCTTGAAGGCTAACAGTGCCGCCCGGTCAGACGGAGGGCAAGAGTGAACGGAAAAAGCAACGGCAAGAATGAGAGTTACCAAAAACAGAAAGGAAGCCATCAGTGTCTCTCTCTGTAGAGGGAACTGATGAGAGAGAGAGAGAAGGGAGGGAGAGAGTATCTGTATAGTTGTCTCTGAGAAGCGATAGCGAGTGAATGAATATCTGAAGAAGGTGAGGGTGCTTATAAGGAAGAGTATAACCATAGCATCGTTTGCTAGGCAATAGGCCAATAGCATACGTGTTCATTGACGGAAATACCCCTAGTAAATGCATATAATTACAATGTCATTCAGTGCTGTGCTGGAGCTTTTCACTCCCATGCTACATTTTCTTTTGTGGGGTTTAGGAATAATAATGACAAAATAATAAAAACAAAATTAGGGAGCGAAATTCCCAGACGAAATGGAAACGTTTGCTTGTAAAGTTGTAATAACTTGCTGGGAATCTTTTTCTGTACTTTTCCTTGGTTTATTTTAGGATAAATCCTAAGAAAAATATATTTAAAATTTTAAAATTCTAAATTAGAAATGATTACAAAGATGTGTTGTTATTTATTTTTTAAATATTATCAATCGTTATTAGAGTGTAATAAATAGAAAATAAGATAGACCAAGATATTATGTTTAAAATCAAATTCAATCGTTTAACTAATTCTTATATTAGAGATTAGAGGTGATTTAAAATTTATGAGAGATATTATTTATAAAATATTAAAAAATGTGGGCTTTTTTTTATGACAATGTGGTTTATTTTAAGTTTTATGTAAATACATTTATATGAGCATAGGTAACAAAAAAAGTTACTTGACAAACGCCAAATTTCGTCCACCTTAGAAATATTAGCTTATTGTACTCTTTTTTTTTTTTTTTTGCTAAACATAGGTATCCTCTTATTTAGAGTAATCATATTCGAGATATTGTCGAGTACTAATGAAATAAGGGTATGTCTTCCACCAAGAGTTTATTGAATTCTTTTTATTTATTCATATCTTTTTTCTGCCATTTTTTATTTATTAATATCATTGTGCGTTATTATTAAAAAAAAAAAGTTTGAGAGTAACGAAATTGAGTATGAAGCCCATAGCGGGAGGTAAAAGGTAATGTGCATGATTAACACACATGGAAGCCGCAATTATACATATGAGAAAGTGCTTTTACCTTTGTCAAGGGCAAAAATCACACACACACAAAATTAAGTGAGTGGATTAATTTGTGGTTAATAAATGAAAGAGGTTTGGGTATAATCACCGACACAAGATCATGGCCATACCCTATCTTTTCACATGATGACCAAGGACTTCTCCATTATGATTTTTGTTTTTGGCCAAACGCCTCCATTATTATGATTTCACTAGGCTTCCTTTTTTCTTATTTAATGCTACTTCTGATCTTAATTATAAAAACTAATTGACTAATTTGAGAAGATTAAAAAAATAAGTTAAGTTAGTTATTTTCAATAAATAAGTGTTATTTTTCCTAAAATATCCTTGCTAATCAAATTTATTGGTTAAAACTACCATTTTTAGATGGACTATCTTGGAAAAGAATACATAAATATGATAGACAAAACGGATTGGAGTCTTATAATTAGGATCAAAATAAACGTCAAACGATATTTTATATTAAGGACCAGAGATAGTATTAAAATTTTGAATCAATCAATTATTTTATACGTTAAAAAAACTAAATTATTCAATACTTCTCAGAACTCTCAACCACTTACAGATAACTCACTCAAGCTTTAAAATTTAATAACCAACTCACCTGGACTTTCAACTCTATATAGATATATAAATTCCTGCCATCAATTATATACTCTTGTTAAATTATATTTGTGTGTATAGATAATTCCCTTGGTTTTAAATTATATGCATATAAACTCTCTAAAAAGTTTAAGAAGATTCTCTATATACTCTTCTAGTCTTATTTATAACGCACTTCTAACATGTTTTATATAAACTAAGAAGAACATTAAACTACGTTAACTCTTTATTAAAATATAACAACTTTTCAACTTTATCCTTATTTAATACTCCTCCGATCCTTAATATAAAATCCATTTAACTAGTTTGATTAGATTAAGAAAATTAGGTAAGTTCATTAATTATAAAAAACGTGACACGTTTTTCCTAAAATACCATAATCATCTTTCTTAATATCTCATTTTCCTCTTCTACTTGATTATGGTTGAGAGAGTATCCATAAGGTAATTTACAGAAAATTAAAAATATGATAAATAGGTCTTATATTTAGGACCAAAACCAACTCAACAATTGGGTCCTATATTAAGGAACGGAGGAGTATATACACATTTCAAAATAAATAACTCTCTATACTATAATAAATGAAGGACAATATAGTACATTCATAGTAAAAATTTAATAAAGTAGCTTATAAATAGGATAAAAAAACTTCTCTCTATGTCTTATAAATAGAACCAGAGGAGTATGACATAAAGTTGAAGGAAATTATATCTAATTTCTTCTTAAAAAAAATCTTAAGTCATGTTTATACGATGAGGCTTCTATATAACTACAAACAACATACTAATAAAAGGTGTCTTCGGGTGAAAGAACAACTTGCCAAACAAAAGCTTAAAGAAGAAGAGTGCATGAGTTTGCAGTAAATATAATATTATATGATTATTTTCCCAAGAGATTCCAATAATTATTATTTTTAATATTTAACATTAGTATGTTAAAGGTTAAAAAGAAAGTTGTGGAGGACATAATAATTCCACTCATAAGGCATTTCGAAATGTGTAAATACTTTCTGGTATGTTAAAGAGATCACAATAATGAAAGATGCATTCATAAAAGCCCCATCCTTTCTGGGTTTCAGTACATTATTCTATACATTTAAGTGTTGCATACAACAATAGACCTTTTATTTATTATTTTTATTTCTCCTTTGTGTATATATATAATTATATATGGATAAGACTGTGATTGAGATCCTAGATAAATGCTTTTATTTCTTTTAAGAAACTATCTCTTTCTATTTATTATTATTTATAATTTTTAGTTTATATTACTTCTTTGAAATAAAAATTTGAGAATTAATTTTAACTATTTTTAGTCTATTTTGCACCCTTTTTAAGGCATTCTCATATGCATATCCATATTTATTATTTCTTCACTTCTTTTTTTTCCTTTAATTTTGATTTCACGTGATGTGGTTTGTGCTCTTCAGACTTTATTTACCATTTTTGTTTCATTGGTCACAGAAAACAATGACAAAAGTAGAATTGCTCAAAAAGATGTGAAAAGTAGAGCCATCTCTCACTGCTTTAATTCTTTTAAGAATATAAATTACATTATTAAATCTTTTCAAAAGTTTGATATCCAAAAAGTTATTGAAGCCATATCTTTTTAAGACTATTTATTTAAGAATTCATTTTTATGAAAATTTTTATGTTTAAAACTTAGACCAAATTTGGTGGTGGCAAAATGATGAGAGTATAATTTGACTATTTAGAATTCATTATGCATGTTTAACAACATAAAATCAACAAGAAATAAAATAAGATAACAAAATATACTGAAAAACACAGAATAATGATAATAATTATGACAATTTAAATCATAACACAAATAATATTAAGATATATATGCATATAAATTCAAAAAGAAAAACAAAGCCAAATTAAGTACAAAAATTAAATAAAATTTAATTTATGATTGTTAAAGTGTATTCTCTCAGAGGATAGCCAACACAACATTTGATAACAGACTTACCATAATGCAATAATGAAATAGAATACAGGTTTAAGTGAAAAAACATTAACACATTCAAAGAAAATTAAATTTAATACTAAAATCAGCATGTTAATATGAACTTAAAACCAAATAAATTGTTTATTTTTTGGTTTCCATTATTATTCTTCGGCCTTAAGTTTGCATTTTACTATGTACTATTGTTAAAATATTTTTTATACTTGAATACCCAAAAAAAAGAAATTATAATCATATGCACGAAATAGGGTAAAATCCAGGTAAATTTTATAAACTTGATAAAGTATGAGATTGTGATATGTTTATAATGATTATTTTTCCGACAAGGTGTATTTATATACATGTGATGGCATCCAAAGGATGGGTCCGCCTTTTCATCCAATCATTACTTGGAAATTGGCTGTAAGTGGGTCCATCTAACATTTCCTCATACCTAATTCTTAACTTTCATTCGAGGCAATCGGCTGCTATTAAGAATAAAATTAGGGAAAATGACAATGAGGTCCCACTCAAAAGAATTAAATACAAAAGGTTTCTTGAAATTATGAAATTATTTTAAAGTCCTAAATTTTTTTTTGCAATAAATTTTTTTGTTTAATTACCAAATTACCCTTTTTCTTTTTTTTAAGTTTGCATTGACAATTGAAAAAGCAGTGGTTGACAACTCAGGGTGTAAGGGTTGACAACTATCGCGGTTGGTTTGACAACTTATGATATGATATGTTGAGAAAACGTGTTGTCAAACCAGCCGCGATAGTTATCAATCCTTGTACCCTGGATTGTCAACCACTGCTCTTTCAGTTGTCAATACAAAGTTTAAAAAAAAGAAGAAAGATAATTTGGTAATTAAACAAATAAAATTTATTGCAAAAAAATTCCTTAGGACTTCAGAATAATTTCATCATTTCAAGGGATCTTTTTGCATTTAATTCTCTTGAGTGGGACCTAATTGCAATTCTCCCATAAAATTAAGGAAAATTAATCTGTTAATTCCTATGGTTTCACCAAATTATTAAATTTTGAATTTGTATTTAACTATTATTATTTGCTTAGTTACTAGTACTAGTCCTTCCCGTGATAAAAATAAAACTTGCGCATGCCATTAGTTTAAGGGTGATGTGATGATGAATAAAATTAATTCTAGAGACCTGATAAAACTATAGAAATTGTTAGATTAATTTTCTCATAACATCATAAATAATTATACTAAAATAACACCTATGGGATTGCATAAAACAGAATGGGCAAAGCAAACTAGTGCTTAGCAAAAAATATTGTGAAAAAATACTACCACTTCCAGTTTTAATTATAAGACTTTCATAAAATTAAAAAAAAAAAAAAGTTTTGCATCTTGAAAAATTAGTCAACTAAGTGAAAATATAATAACATTTTCATCACAAACAAATTAACTCTACACAATCAAACTGAGAAGCTCAGTGAAGTTGTTGAAGAGGCGGATAAACCGCTCTATTCCGCCAAAGACCCTGTAACCTAATAATATATGCGCTTCTCCATAACTAGGAGATTACAGATTCGATCTCATTTGTAAGTACTTTCCCTTTTAATTAAAAGAGAGGCTAGGGAATTAAAAAAGAAAGGAAAGCACACCATTTCAACACCACATGCAAAGGCAAGTCTGGTTTAAAATTGAGAGTTTACTTGCTACCGGAAAGATGAGATTGAAGGATGATGAAGAGCGAAAATCCAAGACGAAAGGAAACAATGGAGGACCAAAGATTAATGGTCCTCACAAAGCAAACAAAAAAGGTGCACATGACATGAAGCATTGAAGCTGTGCCCTCCAAGTTTTGGACATAACATAAAGTCCTAACAACGTGAAAGGATCAAATTACGTGTTTTGGTCAATTTTAACTATTCCGTGTGAAGCATAAGGTACAACTGGTGTTTATGGCTATGCTAGACTTTTAATCAATAAGCCCTATCAAGAGGGTGTTTGAATAAAACCAAACTATGATTTGGAGAATAGTTTTTAGAGAATAAATTTTGTAAAAAAATAATTCTGAGAATGAGAATATTTGGATAGTTTTACCAGAAATACTTTTTACATGTACAAATTACTAAAAAAGATATAAGTTAATATGATAATTATATAGGAGACATTATAATATATTTTGATTTGAAGAAATAAAATTATTAATAAATTAATTTTTACTAACATAATTAATGATATATAAGATAATATAATTAATAGAAAAATGATTTCTTTTTTTCACTGGGTAATGGGTGAAATAATTGATGTTCGTGACCGCTGGGTGATTTCGAGCTGACGAAATAATTGGGGTGTTTTTGGTCAAATATACTGTTGGCCCTCTGACTTCTTCATTATCACTCTACTGATTCAAATTTCAGTCCCCAGAAGTGACAAATTTCCACTTCTGGGCAAACCATGGTTTTACCGCATCAAACCAAGGTTTCAGAGCAAACCAAGGTTCTGAAAAAATTGATACTGTTTGAGTGACATCCCACCCAAATCATGGTTTTGTCTTCCAAACCATGATTTTGAGAGGCATCCAAACAGGCCCCAAAACCTCATCAGTCTAAACAAGTGTATTTAGTTCATATAATCAATGCTTATTATAATCATCACTTAACTAATATCTCTTGACATTTTCCACCCCCAAGATTTCTTTTTTCTCATCAATTTTTCTCCCATTCTGTGTTCCAAATGAGCTCCAAGCTGGAGGCACATCGTTCGACCTGGTCCCAATAATGATCCACTCATAACACCTTAGATTCAGACCCAGCCAAAGACAAGATAAGAAGCAACATGCTACACTCAAAAGTTGTCATAAATAAACATATAAACATATAACAAGTAAACCCCACTAGAAAACGTGACCAACAGGACATTTATAATTGACTAGGTCCCATTATATTTAATAGATTTTTGCATCTGAATTGATCAAGAAAAGTAATGCTCAATCTGGAAGAATGAAATACACCTGGTTAGGATGTTTTATAATTTGCAGTAATTTTCAGTTTTCAACCAAAAATGTCCTCAGTAATTAATGATTCTGCTGTATCAGTACTTGTTACAGAAGGTGTTTGAATTTGCTCGTAGTTCAGTTGTCTGGAAGCTTCATATAATGCTATGCCAACACTTACAGAAAGATTCAAACATCTGACATAAGTTTCAACTATTGGGATTCGGATAGTACCACCACCATAAGGTTCAGAATTGCAGTCTTGCAGGGCTTCAGGAGGCAACCCACTCGTCTCAGAACCAAATAAAAGATAATCGCCTTTTCTGTAAGAAAACTCCTGCAAGGTAAAGGAATATTGCAAGAGTATTAGTAAGTTCTACAAATTCTTGGAGTTTTTCTTTTTCTTTTTTTTTTTATAAATTATACATACCACTATTTTATTTTCAATATTAACACACACTTAAACAAAAAATAAAACTAGATGGGCCATTCCAAATATTGGCAAACATCACAAAAATTTATCTTATATTCATAAAACTCACATGTACCTCCACGAGCAGGAAAAATAAAATTACATAGACCTCCTTTTTATTTGCAGGGGAGATACGTGCATATTTTGGAACAAAAGAAGTTTATGCATTTTTTCCTCCAAACTCTAGGAAGGTTCGTGTCATATACTCGCTTTTTTTGGGCCTTTGTATCGATTTGAAGATAATCAGGAGGTGTGTATAATTTTGGCAAGTTGTAAATTGATTTTGAAAATAGACAGATAAATAGAATTTCACGTGTGTAATTTACTCTCAAAAACTATAATGTTGACTTGAGTTTAAACGTTCAACTGTTGTGCTTCATATAGTGTAAATGCAAAAGCCCCTATAGCCGAATAGTTACAAGATTGATCCTTGTTGGCCTCATTCTTTGTCCTTATACTAATATTGGTATACCTGCCTTTATTCACTATTTATCTTCCAATTGGAAATTGGAAAATACACTTACTATTTTCCCTCTTTTTCACAAGTTATAGACACACATATATGGAACTGTGCCAATTATAGGGTTCAAACTCTGTGGCATAGTTTCAGCATTTCTTTCTTCAGTCAACTTGCATATCTCCCTTGAGTTCTAGCGCATCAGATGAAAGACAGTGATTATCTATTTTTAATGAAAAATGGGTTCAAAAGAAAGTAAATGATTTAGAGTATTAAAGATTTCAACAAAACTATAGAAAAAGTAATGACAGAAGAGACAAATTTGTCAATCAGTTAGGGCTGAAAGAATGAAAGAGAGAAATGACATCATTAGAGGAAGTCACTTATCAAAAGGATTGGCAACTCACTGAATGAACTTTTGTTCCCCTCTTAGTAAATGCTAGCAGCCGCTTTTCACCCTCCTGCGCCAAACAATGGTGACATGTGGAGTCAGAGGAAGACTATGTAACCAACAATTTTTTATCAGAGTGACAATGACGACAGTTCCCTTTATATAAAGTTTCACATTCAAGACTTGTGAATGAAGAAAATAGGTGCTGGAGAGCTTTATCCCCAGTGAGCTCAGCCAGCTTGACTCAGATTTATTAAGGTCTAATGTGACTTCCGGACACCATGTAAGGTATTCAATCCAGAAAGAAAGACTTCAATAAAGGTTAGCAGGAGTTACTTTGGGAATGATATATACCTGCTTCCTGAAATAATCTTGAAAGTCTGCCCATGAATCATGAATTTTAACAACCACATATCTGCAATTTTGCATTAATGCTGGAAAACAAATACAAAGCTGAACAAACAAAAAAGTGCAATTTACTCAAAAAAAAAAAGGGAGGGAAACTCATGCAATCGTGTTGATATCAGATCAGATTTAACTTCCAGATCTTCCAAAAGTATACAATCCTACCTTGTGGGGAAAAACAATCAGAGGAGATAAAGGGGCAGAATAGAGGAGCACTCATAGAATAGAGGATTTCAAGGAAGAAATCATCAAACATGTGTACATGGATACGGCCAGTAATCCAGTCCTGCTCGCTTTAATTTATTGCTATCCACTTTGAATGCCATTGGCTGAAATAATAGGGTAATACCACCATCGTCGGTAGCAAATTTTGATAGAATAAAATGTGAGGTGACTACATTCTCAATGTCAGATGAAATGCGGGGAGATTTAGGGAAGCAATATTCACCCCAACCAAGTGCAGTCCAACAGCTGATGCTGCACATGTTCTAGCAACAGCGCCTGTGTTTCCTGGAATCTGCCGGAGTCGACAGAAAATCAGAGAGATCTTCAGAAATTAAAGTTGTCTGTGTTGAGTATGGTCTAAAAATGACTGTCAATGAACTAAATTTTATCAAATCTCTTGCTCTGCAGTTGGTAAAATTAGGGTATCCTTACTTTGTTTTTAAAATTAGGAAAAAGTTTACAGGTGCCAAATTACCATGCCGAGGTAAACTCTAACTTTTTGCAGGCTATGTAAACTTTAAATTCACTTAATTCTACAAGCAGAAGCAATTCAAATAAAGTGAATATCCAAGAAACAACTTGGCATCAAAACGCCTGATAGTTACAATAACCAGTCTTAATCTAGCATTCTAGCTTTCTTTTTCATTTCTTCCGACAATTATGACAGTAGCATCAGCAGATAAATGAAATATTTTTGAAGCAGTTACATATAGATAATGGGGACAATAATTGAGGTCTGGTTAAAACAAGGTTTACTGGCATGGCAATTGAAAGGTTTTAGAAACAAGCCATCCACAATCAAGTTATCATCTGCAGAATCACATCATATTCTTCTCAGGAGTGAAGAAGCACAAACCATGTATTATCTCAATTTATTGCCAACTTTTTATATTAATATAATAAATAAGCACGAACAGCACTTTCATAGTTGTAAAGTAAGCACTTCTTTCTTTTCATATGGTATAATAATCCCTAACTTTAACATTTTAGCCTTTAGAGTTTTAATTCTTGCTACAAAATCCTTACATAACATAAAATTTGAAATATGCAATTGATCAGTGGAAGCGAACAAGTTCACAAAGCACAATTTTTTTTATTAATCTCAAATACATCATTCAATCCAAAAGGGGATTAGAACTTGGCCTTCAACCAGCTCTTGCGGAAGCCCTACCAGTCATATCAAATTCCAAAGCAAATCTTTTAGTCTCACAAAAGCGATGAGACTTCAGAATAAAATTGTGGACAACACGACCCAATATGATTCACAAGGAAGCAGTGAAGAATTTAAATATCCATCCCATGAAATGAAAGTTACTCACTCATCTTGCATGTAAGTAACCACGCCCCCAAGTTGCCCCATCTTCAAGTTTTCCCCAAAACTACTATGGAATCTTAATGCATAGTGAACATACAAATATATAATTCCTAATGCAAAATCAAAAATAAATGAAATGTACAAGCCGCAAGAAATATACCAGATGTTTAAGAGAACAAAAATCCCAACTTTAACTAAACCACACCTGGGGAGACACCAGCACAACCTGAAGAATCTTGGGACGTGACGCCTCATTCACGGCCTCGCCAGTACCACGGGGCAAAGTGCTCTCTTGACAAATTTCAGCTTCCCCATCTGTAAAAACAACATAGAAATCTAACTGGTAAGGATTACACATGGCGCGGTTTACCCAGAAACGAAAACCCTGAAATGTTAATGCACAAAAGATGTAAGAAAAAAAGAGAAAATTACTGAGAGTGCAAAGGGGAGAGATACGATAAGAGGTAAGATAAAGATGGAGAATATGTTTGAGCTGAATTAAGTTGAAGGGACGAAAGAGAGAAGCTCTTGGTCGAAAACAGAAGTTGGTTGCTTTTTGAAGGGATTTGAGGCCAGTTGAGTCCATCAATGAGGACTTCCCTTCTACTCCTTCCGCTCTCTACCCCTTCAAATCGCCATTGCTGTGTCATGCAGTTGGAGTTCGTCTTCTCTTACTCAGTATCCTCCCGGAGCCAGGATGATGATCTCATTTCTCTTACAAAATTTTCACACTAGTTTGAGAGGAGAAAATGAAATGCTTTATTACCTTTTTTGCTTGACCAGAAAAATAAAAGGGTTTATTGGGCTTTGTTTGCACAGCATGTTCAGAAATTGCTATTTGCTTCTCCTCAGCCACGTTAGGCTTATGGTTTTGATTACATTTTTTTTCTCTCCTTTGCATGTTCCTACAAAAAATTGAGTTGTTCTCTCCCTCAAAGCTGCATCTGCGCATTTCATTGTTACAAAAGGCCATCTCAGTGTCTTCCTTCACTCTGTCCAAAAAAAAAAAAGCGTCTTCCCTCACTGCTCATTGAATGGCAAGTAGTAAATAGGAGAAACTGTCCTGAATATTTTTTGTCTCAAGAATGAAAGATTTGGGATATTTGGGACGCCTACTACCGGAGCATTAATCAGTTTTCTAAGTCATATGCAAAACCTCCTTCCCCGGGTGACCCTATGGTGAAGAAATTGCAAGTTTTGTGGCTTAAAAATTCAAGGCATTTTGAGCATGTTGGTTTATACCTAATCCATTCTTAGTGGATTCGGGCCCAAACCCATTTTGAATTGGGGCATAAATAAAAATAAAGCATAATATGGGATAGGCAAATGCAATATACCTCTCTGTATCGTGTTATGGGGTAAGAATGTGAAAGTGTGGATTACTAGATAATAACTTCTAGTTCCCTCTTCTTCTCCTGATCTGCGCTCTTTCCTCTGACTAATGATGAGATTCGTATGGACCTACTTGAAATCCTTCCGAGGATGTTACGCCTTTCAAGTGAGTTTTGGGGTGAATATGGTAACGCAGTTACATTGACATTTTGCTTATGATTTTGAAGTTTTAATTTTCTGTTAATGTCTGCTGGTTTAATTTGTACATTCCTATTTGATGAGAAATGAAAAATGTGCTGATTATAAATATTGCCAATATTGGCTTGCACAGTCAAATGAATCACAGTAATCTCATAATACTTCTCGGATTCTTAATATAAGACCTAATTAAAAAATTGATGTTGGTCCCATGTGTATGACCTATTTCATATGGTTACCAATTTTTTTTCAAATTAACCCTATTAATATTCTCTAACAATAATCAAGTAGGAAAAAGAATAAAGGAATTAAAAAAGATGCTTAGAGTATTTTAGAAAAAATATATCATATAGCTAATCTAATTGACATCTTTAATTTATTAGGTTTTACATTAAAAACTAGAAGAATAGTTAGTATTTAACATAGTTTCTCTCTCTTAAAACACATTATGAACATAGTTTCTCTCTCTTAAAACACATTATGAAGGTTTTATTTGTTTTGTCATTGGTTGAATTCTTGGGAAGCCCTAGAGTTTAGGACATGTACTTTGTAGTTTTCAAATTTAAATTTCTCCATTTAAATTTGTAGTAGTATTGTGCAAATGTTGTGTAGTGCTGCTTTACATACAGGTATTAAGCATATATGGAAAGCCAATTGCAACTCTTCATTAACATTCATATGAAATGGCACTAGAGCTCTTCTTCACTCAAATGATATGAAATGGTACCAAGATTAAGCAGAGGCACCTCACTTCTTAGGTGATCACAAGCCACGTGTCTTCCTTAGGTCCCACAAATATTTGCCAGATTCATGGTACCAAAGCTTTTCTTCATTCAAATTCAAACATCTCAACAGATATTGAGTTTAGTAGAAGGAGTTAATCCCTCACAATGTGACAAATCAATATTTGAATTCCTACTAAAAGAGGTGTACACATATACTATCCAACAGTACCTTAATATGATTGCTTTTAATAGGATGATGCCTATGTGTAGCCAAAAAAAAAGTCTCAACAACAATCAGCTTACCAAATTCCTGCTTCTGTGGATGAGGGATGACATTAATGTGATGGTGATTTTATTTGAGTTGAGAACTTGTTGACCACAATGGTCAAGGATTTACTTGTCCTCCACGGACCATATAGTAAGTTTGATGCTTGGTTATTGTTGCGGACCCAACTATCTGCCACATTCTATTACCTATCATTCTCAATATAAGAAGTAAATAATTAATTTGCAGAAATTAAATAAATTAGTTGAATTGGTTAATTGTAACAAATGGATGTTGAAACTATCCTAAACTACTCTCTTTAATCATGTGACTCGGTTATTTTTTAGCAGGAATCTCTTACAATGAATAGAAATATTTTAGAGAAAACGATATAACTTTGAGGAACAAAATATATTGAGATCTTATATTTAGGACTAAATCTAATATCCAACTAGCCCTTATATTAAATATCAGAGATAGTATTATCGTGTTCATTCCTTTTTGTTCTATCATTTGAGTGGCAATTTCTGATTCATATAATCTCACTGTTATTTGTTTAATTCCCTTTATTTGTGCTTTAACTGCTTTTACAGAGTAATCCTCATAAGGCTTATTATTGAAGAATGAGACGTTGAGATCAAGTTTGTTAAGGGGGGAAATTGCCCTTTTTGTGAAACAAAAATGATGTATCATCATGTTATTGCTATCAACATCCAACTTAATAATTTCCTGTCTTATATCGGGGATTGTGTTGTACGTAAGAATCTCTTCATAGGAATCATGCTCATCAAATACTGGAAAAAGACAAATGGAAAACAAATTACAAGTGTGAAGGGAAGATTTCATTTACGACCACGTGTTTGAGAAATGGTATTGTGTCGATTTTTTTTTTCTTTTTCTAAAATTTGGTGCCTCAAATCAATGAGATAATTTTTCTTAATGTGGTGGCTGAATAAATAAATGTAAAGTGAAAAAAAAACTAAAAAAGATGTGATGGGTTAGAACAGGTTATCCCCAAATCAAAATGCTTTTTAGGAAACAGACTGGGAAAAGTGGGAAATATTTGCCTGATCTGCCAAACACTAGCATGCAACTTGTTGAAATTGAAAATTGGATTTATCTTAATTTGTAATCACTTTATTAACCACAAATGATCCCAATTTGTTGAGACTATAAAAACCTTAATAATAATGGGAGTTCTTAGTTAATCATTTAATTTAAAGTGCCTAATAACACAGCATGATCTTCATCAGTTTGAATATTGGGAGGCAGTGAGACATCATTAAGGATCACTTATTGCGTCATTGCTTATGTAAGCATGCAATATGTGCTTGTTTATCCAACTTGCATCATAACTTTTCCCATATCATTTGTTATGCTATCTGTAATGATTAAATTTATTAACACAGCAGTTTAAAAAGGACAAATTTGTTTTGAGTTTTTTCAATGAAAAAATTACTACTTTTGAGAAATTTTGTAATGTTTGCTTATATCTTTTAAAATGATCAGAAACTTTTTTTAAAAAAAATTATAGGTTTTTTTAAAACTATCTTTAAGAAGTTACTTTAAGTAGCTACTAAAAATAATTAAATATGTAGTAGTAAATAAGAGAGAGTATAAAGATAGACAAAGATATTATAAAATTTAAATGTCATAGCCGATAACAAATAATTATTTTATAAACAAAGATACATAAAAATATCATAAAATGTAAAAAAAAAAAATTTAATAATGAGTTTTTTTTATGATTGTATCCAGATCTAAAGTAATTTCTATTTTTATAAATTTTTTAAATCATGTAAAATAATCTATTTTTAAGCTTTAAAGAAACCAATTCTAAATATCTAGATCATGGACAAAAACGAAACCCAGATCAAATTTCTTATATTATTAGGTAAAGTTTAGATGTGAATTTATAAGCGGAGATATTTCACTAACAGCTAACAATAACAAAATAATCAGTGTTTATATTTCATAAATGAACTTATAAGTGCATTTCATATGGTTACCAATTTTTTAAAATTAACCCTATTAATATTCTGTAACAATAATCAAGTAGGAAAAAAAGTGAAAGAATTAAGAAATATGCTTAGGGTATTTTAGAAAAAATATATCATATAGCTAATCTAACTGACATCTTTAATTTATTAAAATTAATTAATTAGGTTTTATATTAAAAACTAGAAAAGTAGTTAGTATTTAACGTAGTTTCTCTCTCTTAAAACACATTATGAAGGTTTTATTTGTTTTGCCATTGGTTGAATTCTTAGGAAGCCCTACTGTTTAGGACACGTACTTTGTAGTTTTCAAATTTAAGCAATTTCCCCATTTAAATTTGTAGTAGTATTGTGCAAATGTTGTGTAGTGCTGCTTTACATACAGGTATTAAGCATATATGGAAAGCCAATAGCAACTCTTCATTAACATGCATATGAAATAGCACTAGAGCTTTTTTTCGCTCAAATGATATGAAATGGTACCAGGATTAAGTAGAAGCACCTCACTTCTTAGGTGATCACAAGCCACGTCTCTTCCTTAGGTCTCACAAATATTTGCCAGAATCATAACATGGTACCAAAGCTCTTTTTCATTCAAATTCAAACATCTCAACAGAGATTGAGTTTAGTAGAAGGAGTTAGTCCCTCACAATGTGACAAGTCAATGTTTGAATTCCTACTAAAAGAGTTGTACACATTTAGTGTTCAACAGTATCTTAATATGATTACTTTTGATAGGATGATGTCTATGTGTAGCCAAAAAAAAAAACTCAACAACAATCAGCTTAGCAAATCCTGCTTCTGTGGATGAGGGATGACATTAATGTGATGGTGAATTTATTTGAGTTGAGAACTTGTTGACCACAATGGTCAATGATTTACTTGTACTCCACGGACCATAGAGTAAGTTTGATGCTTGGTTATTGTTGCGGACCCAAATTGTTGCGGACCCAACCATCTGCCACATTCTATTATCTATCATTATTAATATAAGAACTAAATAATTAATTTAAAGAAATTAAATAAATTAGTTAAATTGGTTAATTGTAAAAAATAGGTGTTGAAACTATCCTAATCTACTCTCTTTAATCATGTGACTCAGAGTTATTTTTTAGCAGAAATCTCTTACAATGAATAGAAATATTTTAGAGAAAAGGATATAACTTTGAGGAACAAAATATATTTAGATCTTATATTTAAAACTAAATCTAATCTCTAACTAGCTCTTATATTAAATACCAGAAATAGTGTTATCGTGTTCATTCTTTTTGTTCTATCATTTGAGTGGCAATCTCTGATTCATACAATCCCACTGTTATTTGTTTAATTCCCTTTATTTGTGCTTTAACTGCTTTTACAGAATAATCCTCATAAGGCTTATTATTGAAGAATGAGACGTTGAGATCAGGTTTGTTAAGGGGGGAAATTGCCCTTTTTGTGAAAGAAAAATGATGTATCATCATGTTATTGCCATCAACATCCAACTTAATAATTTCCTGTCTTATATCGGGGATTGTGTTGTACGTAAGAATCTCTTCATAGGAATCATGCTCATCAAATACTGGAAAAAGACAAATGGAAAACAAATTGCAAGTGTGAAGGGAAGATTTCATTTACGACCACATGTTTGGGTAATGGTATTGTGTCGGATTTTTTTTTCTTTTTCTAAAATTTGGTGCATCAAATCAGTGAGATAATTTTTCTTAATGTGGTGGCTGAATAAATAAATGTAAAGTGAAAAAAAAAGAAGATGTGATGGGTTAGAACAGGTTGTCCCCAAATCAAAATGCTTTTCAGTAAACAGACTGAGAAAAGTGGCAAATATTTGCCTGATCCGACAAACACTAATATGCAACTTCTTTCTACTACCATAGTAGAAAGAAATTGCGTGATTTTAGAAATTAACATTTAAACTTGATTCAAATTCAAACTCTATTGCATGCAACTAAAAATCATTCATTAACATCCACTGGGCCTCCGAGCCTCCAACCCAGGTAACAAAAGACATCACATCAGCCCATCCAAATGGTTTCCAACAAAATAAATCAGAGTTTCATAAGACACTAGAAATGACATCCGGCCAACCAAAATAAAGAGATAACAATCCCTCCAGTTTACAATAAGGCCAAGCAATCAAAATATTTCAAAAGGAATTCTAAATGTGACAATATATACTAGCCATACATATACAAGGGCTAGAGGCCTAAAGCTAACCAAGCTCAAACCTCTGTGTCTCTTCCCGATGGCACACGCTCAGAACCTTCACCTGAAAACATTGTAAACCACAGGGTGAGATAAACGTCCCAGTAACCAACCTTTCCAATTCAAGATACTACTAAATAGGTGCTCGTGAGGTGTCAAGTGGGGCAGTTCACAAGTAATATGATAAATGATAACCACAACAAGTCATACAAGTGCAATGATGCAATCCCATCAACCATATCCCTCACTTTGGGGGATGTTCAAGAGCCGAACCTGGCCTATCCCTCACTATGGGAGACGTAAGGAGGCATAAAAGGCTTATCCCTCACTCTGGGGGACCTAGGGAGCCAAAAGGCCTATCCCTCACTATGGAGGACGTAAAGAGCCAACCATCATGCATTAATGGAGGCCTTACCACGTGGTAGTAACAATCAAAACTCTCACCAATTCCCAATTCATGCATCATACTCAAACCGTAATCAAAGAGTAAATAATCATTTCACAATTCAGTGGCATATCTTTCACAAGTTCAAAATTCATTCCATATCAATCGAAACCCCACAAGACGGTTTTTTTTTTCAATATACAACATACAATTTGAACACAATTTGTTACTCGGAGCACAAAACATAAATCCACTCACAATACCACAAAAGCATATACAAAGGATTGGAAAGTGGTTACCTCTCGCCTGAGCAAGGAATAACAAACTAACAATACGGCCCCGTGCACCAACAAGGCTCACAAC